GCGGCGCGGTCACTCACTGCGTGCGGCCAGCACGGCCCCCGTCATGGCGCCGCTGGTGATGGAGTTCCAGGGGTCCTCCTTGCCCCGCAGCTTCACCAGGCTGCAGTCGATCGTGGAGAAGAGCCCGCCCCACACTGCGAAGCTGCCTGGCAAGACACACACACACACACACACCGCAGGGCGTCACCCCGGAGCGGCTCACTGAGCAGGTCACAGGAAACCTTCAAGTTTCACAGGGGGCTAGCGTATTGCAAGCCAACAGCAGACACTGGCGGGGGAGTCTGCACGTCTTCCTTAACTGGGGGCAAAGGTGCACTGATAGACTGGAGTTTGATATGCTCTGTCATGCTTCACACATGCAAAGAGACAGCACAATAAACCTGCTTCGCTATACTGCAAAAATGCATCTCATTTGTTTGAACTGTCTTTATCGTGATTTGTTTCGCTTTTTTGTATAATGTTTTGCGTTGTGTTGTATTATAGACTTGTGTGAGAATGGCCTGCTTTTTGTACCATAGCGTAACTTTAATACTGTGTATTACACTGTGCGTGACCTGAAAAGTACGTACTTTGTACAATTGTGTACAAAATCTAGAAAAAAACTTAATATCTTACCAGGATATTCTGGTATCTGAAGGTGAACATCTCACCTTGTAATTTACAAATCAATTAATATTAAATACAGTACTATACAGACCTGAAACCCCATGATCTAAAGTCCTGAATGCACCAGCTCACAACTTGTGGTCTGAGGACCCCTTGTGGACAGTTATGTTACTACAGGCCATAGTAGAGACATAGTGATGTGAGAAACGTCCTGTCTTTAAAGTCTGCAAAACAGCACCAGCTATCTTGATAGGCTACTCAATACACAATGGTCACACACACACGGGCACTGTCGTGCTTGGTTTTTATTAATATATTGAGTTAATGAATAGGAATTTAGAAATTTAAGGTGCATACATCACAAATGTTGACAGCGCGTGTTTATCGTGTCTCTGTGTTGCAGCTCTTAGTGTGCCAGATCTCTGCATATAACAGTGTGTTATAAAAACCAGAAACCAGAAACAGCCTAACCGCAGCTGCGTAAAGCAGACTGAGGGGTGACACTCACCTCCGATTTGGGGCGCCCGGATTCTGACGGCTTTGGCGCTGCCCCTCAGCCTGTGTCGCATGCCCTGCACAGAGAAACGCCTCTCTGTTAGCTGCGGTTTCCCCTCAGAGACAAGACCACACGGTATCGTACTGGGAGTCCCCCGTGGCCATGATGATCTCAGAAACACTGTGTATATGCACCGCAAGAACAGTGGAAGCTCTGACTGCAGTGCAGTGCTCGTACAGCACTTTCTCCTCGCCCAGCGGTTATCTGCTGAGGTGCTGGACAAGGGCTGGCACGCAGTATGAACAGCAGCGCTCAGAGAAAAGCCAGAACAGGCTGCTCTGGTCCTGGAGAGTTAACGGCAATCCTACCTGACGACCGAAGACAGTTAAATTGAAGCTCTTTCCTGGAGCAGCTGTTAAACAGTTAAATTAGCTCCACTGTGCCGAGCAGGTGAGAGTCTTCCTCTACTCACCACAGGGGCGTTGCGGAAGCCTTTGACGGCCTGAAAGATGCCCCCTCCTATTGCCCCCATCGTGAATGCCCCCCCACAGTCATCCACTATCCTCCACGGACTGCAGAGGGAGACAGAGGGGGCGGAGGGGGGATCAGGGAGTGTTACAGGGAAGAAGAGGGACAGGGAGTGGAAGGCCAGGGGAGAAGAGGAGGAACGTTGGGAAGGAAAAGGGAGATCGGAAAGAGAGGGGGGCAGGGGAACGAGAGGGAGAAGGGCAGGGAGAGGGAGATGGAGAGGGAGAAGGGCAGAGTCGAAGGACAGATTAAGAGATGGAGGAAAGAAAAGGATGAGAGAAATATGGGGAGAAATAAAAAAGAGCTATTAACAACCCATCCAACCAGTATCCCAAAGTCTCGTAATCCTAGTAGGGGCCATGGAAACTCAGAGCCTATTCCAGAACTATAGGGCTCGGCTACACTACACCCTGGACAGGACACCAGTCCCTCACAGGAGACACACCCACCCCGGACAGGACACCAGTCCCTCACAGGAGACACACCCACCCCGGACAGGACACCAGTCCAACACAGGAGACACACCCACCCCGGACAGGACACCAGTCCAACACAGGACACACACACAAATCCTGGAAGGAATACTAGTCAATCACAGAAAACCACAACCGACAAAATCAACATATTTTACAGTAAGAACACATCAGCGAAGTGTTTAAAAATAACCAAAAGCAAATCACACTGAAATACACTACTGTCAATCCTGCACTGTGTTTTGCAAACGTACGCACCGCACAATTGTTAATAAAATTAAGATCAATAACGTATACAGCCTATCCGCGTATTCAAAACACAGACGAAACCCTGATACTACAGGTCGAAGAGAAACTGTAATGAAAACATTTGAAACGCAGCAACTATTACTGTTCACAAAAGGTCGTGAAACACGTAATACGTCAACGATTTTTTAAACAACCTGCGTGAAGAATACTGAAGTTTATTTGAGATTTGACCTGATATTTCCAAGCAGCCAAATCGGTATTATATAGATTAGGACTATCGTTCAGTTACATAACTAAGCAAGCTCAACTTGACATTAGCAAAAACAAACATTTCGTGTGGCTAAAAGCCAAATAGACTCGGTATTAAAAAGGTCATAAAACACGAAGCTAAAAACGTTTTTATTATCTCCTGCAGCATTTTAAAAGCTAGCTCTCCACTGGGCTGTACATTACCAGGGCTCTCGAGCGTACTCCTCCATCTTAACCACACAAACACAACACTGGGGGCTGATGACGTACGAAGCCGGCTAGGGCAAGCGAAGAAAGCACGTGTCATGTGATAGGAGTGCACAGCCCTTCATTGTTGAAAATATAGAACGTTTCCACGTCTGGCTCAGTTGTATGCGCAGGAGGCGGCCATATTAGTAGAGCTTGAAATTCAGTCCTCGTTAGGCAAGTAGAAATCGCAGCGCAGTGTTCTAGACGCTCCATAGGAAACAATATGGGTCTGTAGAAATTTTATAAACTGAATTTCAGGAGCTGGGATATAAAACATGTACAATATTAATGTACCACTGTAGCGGTGAATGCATTATATATACAACTTGTCTTTGTGTTATTTAGTAGACACATCAAAATCTATAAAACGGATACAGCCCACTATGCAATAGCAGCAATGCGAGGAGACTGCACGAACCTGTCGTTAATATGACAGGTGGTTGATCTGTTTGAGTGGACATCTATCAATATGCTTTATATGATGTAAATGCAGATAATGAGCACAAGAAACCAAATATCACTAACATCTGCAGAAGGCTTCACAGCCGAAACGTTGTTTTCTCTCTTCTCTTTTCAGCATGGAATAAACCTGTTATTTGTTCCTTTAATAAGAGAAAGTTTATCAGAAAATGTTTTAACTTTATTACACCAGCTGATGGCTTAAGATTTAAACGGTTTTCAAGAAAAGACTCGTTATGCTATCAAGTATTCTCTGCACTCTACTAAGATGGCGATCCGACTACACAACCTCAATGACGTAATCTTCTCGTGCCTTTTTATCACCTTGGCGACTGAACGTTCGTCACGTGACTGCGTATGCGCGCGCGTCTGTGTGACACGTCACTTACGCGACATTGTCGTCGCTTGCCTGTGGCCGGTGTCTTATTTTGGGGGGAGAAATTGGAGATTACATTATTAAAATCAAGCCTGTGTGAACATCAGTGCGGGTTAGAAGCGCATGTGTTGGATAAGAGGGTACCGCGAGTCGGAAAACGGAGGTGTGCTGTATATTTGAGATAAAAAGGGGTTTGGGGATTCAGAGGCAGTGGTGTCGCTGGTCCGCCTGACTGGTTTGTGCGCGGTACTCAAAGGTAAGCAGGCTGCTGTCGTGAGCGGCACATCCAGATTGTTAGACAGACGCGCCAGATAGGTGACGGGCGGACGCGGTCGTCTCCTGTAGCTCTTCCAGGGGCTAGCAGCTAACCGCTCCAGCCGCCTCTCGGAAAGAGCCGCGGCGCTGGGGTCCGGCAATATGGCTGTGCAGTCACTCTCCCACGACCCGCTCTCTGTGCACACGATGCAGAAGTGCTTTCAGTGTTCAAAGTGGGAAAACCACCTCTGAGGCCTTATAGCAGAGTAACCCTTGATGAAATTAGGCAGCTTCTTCGCACAGTGTCTTTCTCTCTGTGTAGAGGTGTACAGTGCTGTGTGCAG